ACAGAAGTAACTCCTCTTATGCAAGAAGAACCAAGACTCCCCGGGAAGTACATATAATGTTTAATAGAAGGGAAATGCATGACAAGGTACTAAAAAAAGCAAATGACACTAAGGTGGTTATATAAGATTCAGAAATTAAATTTCTAAAAGAAGTACCATGGAGAGTGAGGGAGAAACAGCAGAACTATACGTTATTGACAAGTCTTTTAAGATCTAATGGTGTTTCATATAGATGGTTAATACCAAAAGGCATCCTATTTAACTATGAGGGAAGACGACAGAAAATTGACTCCATATTTAAGGTGGAAGACTTCCTAGAGAGACACAGTAAAGTTTTAGGACGGCAAGAGGATGAAGAGAGTGAATCGGGAGAAGAACACTTAGGACAAGAATTAGAAAAAACAAAAAGGAGAGTAGGAACAGGAAAGGAAAGAAAGAGACCAGATAAGACACGGATTCTCACAAGGTTGCAATATAGAAATAGGACAAAGGATAATAAGAACAAAAATGATGAGGAATAAAAAAATTAAAATTTTCTCAGTCAATGTGAACGGTCTTAACAGCCCACAAAACAGGAAACGAATTTTCCATCAAATTAATAAATTACAGATATGGTATGTATTCAAGAAACACACATCAGAAATTAATATGGTATGTATTCAAGAAACACACATCAGAAAAGAGGACATAAAATACTTATATCTAAAAAATTAGGAAACCTTTCATAGCAGCAGATTCGAAAAAGAAAAGAGGAGTGGCTATATATGCAAAAGAATATTCAGCTCCTGAGTTAATATATACCTCAGACGACGGAAGAATGGTAGCAATTACAGTTCAGAGGCAAAAAATAAAAACATAAATTGTAAACATATATGCCCCCAAACAAAATCAGGAGGTTTTTTTCAACACAGTAAGAAATACTTTGGCATCACAAACATTTGATGACTTGTGTATCATAGGAGACTATAATGCGGTCTTCGATCCAAAAATGGCAAAAAGCAAGAAAACAGGAAATGTAATTTAACTTAGTGGATGCATGGAGAATCAGAAACATAGAGACAAAGGATTACACATATTTTTCAGCAAGACACAAGTCATGGTCCAGAATAGATATGGCATGGACCTCTACAACAATGATGAGTGAGCTAATAGAATCTGAAATTCTACCTAATACGTTTGCTGACCACAACCCACTTCAGGAGAGGCCAAGAAAGACCAGATGGACCATGGATACAAGTGTACTAAGAGATGAAGACTCTGTAGACAAAACCAAAATTGAAATTCAAGAATTTTTAAAAAGAAATATACAACCTGAAATATCAATAGAAATAATATGGGAAACATGGTTTATTAAACAGGAAGCCTGGAAAAAGAAACAAAAGAGAACGCAATATGATAAATTAGGGAAACAAATTAAAAAAGAAGAGGATAAAATGAAAAAGGGTGTAGATTTGGAAGAAAAAACCAAGTTAAAATTATTACAGCACCAAATGAACTTATTATTGACTCAAGAATTAGCCAAAAAACTAGAATATACCAAACAAATTATTTTGATAACGCAAACAAAACCAACAAGATGGTTGGCATATAGAATAAGGAAAGAAAGAGAAAAATGTATAATTACAGCATTGAGAAACAATAAAAATCAAGAAAAATATAACTTAGAAGTCCTGAAAGATATAGTGGAAATTTTTTATTAAAAATTATATCAACAGAAGACCATAGGTAAGAAATTGATAAAAGATTATATTCAAAGATGGAATATAAAAAAGTTCAATGAAAAACAGAAAACAATATTAAATGAACCAATTTCAATTTGTGAGATTACTGAAGCAATTAGAAAATTAAAGAAAAAGAAAACTCTGGGTCCTGATGATCAACCAAATGAAATTTACCAGACGTTTGATGAACAAATACTATTACCATTAAAGGTGGTACTTCAAAATATAATAAAAACAGAAAAGCAGCCAGAATCATGGAACCAAGCCTTAATAACTTTAATTCATAGACCAGGCACGGATGAAAAAGAAGTTAAAAATTATAGACCCATATCATTGTTAAATGTGGACTATAAAATATTTCCCAATATATTAGCTTCCAGATTGAAAAAAGTGTTAGTTCAAATTATACACCAAGATCAAGCAGGGTTCTTACCAAAGCGTCAAATTAGAAACAACATATGGACCATTGTTAACATATTAAAGTACTATGAGACGCATCCGGAGAAACAGATGGCCTTAGTCTTCCTTGATGCAGAAAAGGCTTTCGATAACGTAAGCTGGGAATTCTTGTTACAAAAATTGGCTTCATGGGATTGTGGTTCAGCCTTCCTCACAATGATTAAAGTGATATATACTAATCAAAGTGACTCAAAATATAGAAATACAAAAAGGGACAAGAAGACAAGGATGTCCACTCTCTCCATTATTATTTATTTACACTTTAGAATCACTGAACGATTTAATAAGAGAAAGTAAACAAATAAAAGGATTGAGGATAAAAGGAGAAGAATTCAAACTTCAAGCATTTGTGGATGACCTAGTCTTTATACTAGAGGACCCAACTATATCCATTACACAATTGATTAAAGTAATTCAAGATTATGGACAAGTAGCAGGGCTCAAAATTAATTTTAAAAAGACAAATATTTTAACAAAATACTGTACCAAACCAAATACATCAACTACAAGAAATATCCTCGATGGAAGTAACTAAAAAAGTGAAATATGTAGGAATAATTATGACAAACAGAAGCAGCACTTTAATAGAAGATAACTATAACAAGCTGCTGAAGGATATAAAAAAAGATCTGGCAAATTGGAAAGACCTTCAGTTATCACTTACGATAAGGATAGCAATGATAAAAATGAATGTACTTCCAAAAATTCTCTTTTTAGCTCAAACTTGCCGATTCTAAAAAAGATGCAGTACTTTAAAGACCTGGATAAGATTATTAGGCAATTCATTTGGTATCCAAAAAGACCAAGGATTAAGTGGAGGTTCTACAAGATAAAAAAGAAAAAGGAGGGTTCCAATTATCCAATTGGAATTTATACTACAAAGCAGCAGCTTTAGGTTGGATAAAAGATTGGCATATCTTAGAAAACATTAGAGGGTTGAAGTTAGAGGGGCATGATTTAAGTATTGGCTGGCATGCATATGTGTGGTATGGTAAGGATAGAATACATACGATCTTTAGACATCATATTACAAGAGGAGCGCTAATAAAAATTTGGAGAGAAATGAAAGAACAATATTACACTAAAACTCCAAAATGGGTTTCACTGTTGGAAGCTTTTATAAAACCAACATTAATTAATAAGGATAAAAGATGGAATGAGGGTCCCAAGAGTGGAATTCCATTCCCAGAATGCTGCTGCTACTCCTAGGGGCAGTCATTCCACTATGCACCCTGTCATTCCAGTCCCAGAATACAAATTCTATTGCTAGAGACCGTCATTCTATTCTGGGGGCTGTCATTCAAGTCCCAGAACACTGTTTGTATTGCTGGAAACAGTCCCAGAGTAGTCTATCTGGGTTCAGAGAACTTAATGGAAAAATCCATTCCATATTTTCTTTGTAACTTTGCAAGCCCAGAAGAGCTTCCTGCCAAAGCAGTCAAAGAAGAGATGGAGGGAGCTGGGAACTTTGGCAGCCTCAAGCTTCAAAGGGTGAGGACAGGAGGGGGATGAGGGGGTAAGAAAAGAGCCACAGGCCCAATTAAAGCCATGGGCTGGCTGCTTGCAGCCTGTGGGCCTTACGTTTGACACCCCTGCTCTAATACTTCATACAAACAATCTAACAAAGAAATAAGCCCATCTCGAAAAGATTCAAACACAAAGTCCCCCATAATTATTCTGATATCCAAAGGAGGATAATCCATTAGTATAGAGTTCATTAAGCTCCAAACTTCTCCAAAAGGATCCTCCTTTCACCTCCTGAATCAGGATGTGCATCTCATGTGTTTTCCAATTGGGTATAGTGTTCTTACTAGATTACTCTATGAATTCTCAGAAATAGTCCTCAGTTCCACAGGTGTATCCAATGAACCAACACAGAAGAAGTCTCTCTAAAAGGGACACACACCATTTTACACACACACACACACACAGAATCAGCTGATAGATAATGTCTACCAAAGCATATCCCATGATAGCACTTGTAGAGATACAATCTATAGGGAAAATGTTTACAATAAAACGTATATCATGGAACTCCAAAAAAAACATGACAGTCATCATAAAACTGAAGATGTCTAAAGATATCTTAGAGTTGAACTTGATTGATCCAATATGCAATCCTAACCAAACCAGTTGCTTGGTGGTATAGTTTGTTAGGTACTGCTAAGCCTCCTCTTTTTTCTCACTCTGTAATACTTAAAATCTAATACTTAGTTGTTTTCCATTCCACATAAATGTATTTATTTGTTTCTGCCAGTCCATGTACATTGATCAGTATTAACTGAAACAGAAAATTTATTTTGGCAAACCATTCATTTTAATTGCAGAGATTCTTCTCAGCCATGACCATTTTAGTTTGGACCATCTTTCCAAATCTTTTTGGAAAGTGTGTGTTTCATTGAGGCTTTTCCTCTATTAATGGAGCTATTCGGGCTTATCTGTTGGAGTCCGAAGGCCGGAAAGGCGAGGCACACTCTTTTCCTCTCTGGTGGGTTGCCGTGTTACTCTGTAGAAGCAGAGCAGAATTCAAGTCCAGGAGGTCATTCAAGACCACGCAAATTTTCCAGGGTTTAAGTTGTCATGAGTTAAAGCTCATTTTCTCAGAAAGGCCATTCTCTCTGACTCAGAAGGTGGGAAGGGGGTTGCCAAAAAGGGCCATATGGAGGATGCAGAAATGCCATAAGGTCTGATGGATCTTCATTCTCATTTCTGCCTGACCAAATGAGCTTTGACCTGTGAAAGCTTCTACCCTTGGAAATTTCCTTGGTCTTTAAGATGCTACCCCTCCACCTTCCTATTTCCTTTCGTAAGTCCTTTTGCCTTATTAGGGTGGTGAGAATGGAGTTCAGTCTGCTTGGAAGCAAACCGGGGCACGTGGCTTTCCTTCACTCTGCTGGTCCCAGGCTCTGAGTGCTCAAAAGGTTTCTCCCCTGTGTGGGTTCTTTGATGCTTTTGCAGACTGGAACTCAGACTGAATCTCCTACCACACTCTGAGCATTCAAAAGGTTTCTCCCCTGTGTGGGTTCTTTGATGCTTTTGCAGACTGGAACTCAGACTGAATCTCCTACCACACTCTGAGCATTCAAAAGGTTTCTCCCCTGTGTGGGTTCTTTGATGCTTTTGCAGACTGGAACTCAGACTGAATCTCCTACCACACTCTGAGCATTCAAAAGGTTTCTCCCCTGTGTGGGTTCTTTGATGCTTTTGCAGACTGGAACTCAGACTGAATCTCCTACCACACTCTGAGCATTCAAAAGGTTTCTCCCCTGTGTGGGTTCTTTGATGCTTTTGAAGACTGGAACTCAGACTAAATCTCCTACCACACTCTGAACATTCAAAAGGTTTTTCCCCTGTGTGGGTTCTTTGATGCTTTTGCAGACTGGAACTCAGACTGAATCTCCTACCACACTCTGAGCATTCAAAAGGTTTCTCCCCTCTGTGGATTCTTTGATGCTGTTGAAGAGTGCCACTCTGACTGAATCGGTTTCCACACTCTGAACATTCAAAAGGTTGCTCCCCTGTGTGGATTCTTTGATGCCCTTGAAGACGACTACTCCGAACGAATCCTTTCCCACACTCTAAGCATTCAAAAGGTTTCTCCCCTGTGTGGACTCCTTGATGCATTTGAAGACAGCTATACTGATGGAATCTTTTCCCACACTCTGAACATTCAAAAGGTTTCTCCCCGGTGTGGGTTCTTTGGTGCTTTTGAAGACTGCCACTATGACTGAATTGCTTTCCACACTCTGAGCATTCAAAAGATTTCTCCCCTGTGTGGGTTTTTTTATGCTTTTGTAGACTGTCACTCTGACAAAAACTCTTTCCACACTCTGAGCATTCAAAAGCTTTCTCCCCTGTCTGGGGTCTTTGATGCCGTTGAAGACTGTCACTCCGACTAAATCTCTTTCCACACTCTGAGCATTCAAAAGGTTTCTCCCCTGTGTGGGTTCTGTGATGCTTTTGAAGGCTGTCACTCTGACTAAATCTCTTTCCACAATCTGAGCATTCAAAAGGTTTCTCCCCTGTGTGGATTCTTTGGTGCTTTTGAAGATTGCCACTCTGACTGAACCTCTTTCCACACTCGGAGCACTCAAAAGGTTTCTCCCCTCTGTGAGTTCTTTGATGCTCTTGAAGAATGCTACTCCGACTAAATCTCTTTCCACACTCTGAGCATTCAAAAGGTTTCTCCCCTCTGTGAGTTCTTTGATGCTCTTGAAGAATGCCATTCCGACTAAATCTCTTTCCACACTCTAAACATTCAAAACGTTTCTCCCCTGAGTGGGTTCTTTGGTGCTTTTGTAGACTGGAATTCATACCAAATTTCTTTCCACACTCTGAGCATTCAAAATGCTTCTGTGCTGCATGTATTTTTTGCTGTACAAGAAGCTGTGGTTGGTATGTGGAGTTGTTTCCAGAGTAAGAACATTTCCATGCCTTCATTATAACGTCGTTTGGAAAACATACATTTTCCTTTCTTCCATTGGAGAACATCATTCCACTTGTGGAGCAGATACATGACTTCACTCCTAAATGAGTACATTGGAGACAGCTGTGGACTGGAATTTCATGGAAGCTGTGTTCTTGGTGAGGAATGGACTCAACCCCCCTCTTCACCGTACAGATTCCTTCCTGCTTCTCTGGTCCATCTCTATTCCCAAAGTTTCCTTTGGCCTGTTTATTCTCGTGTTTTTCCAGTGACAACATCTGAAATTCCCCAACTGACTCTTTGACATCTCCTGCTGGAATAAAGAGGGTGGTCAAATCACCACTCACACAACGAGCCAACCCACCCATCAGGAACTCCTGATTAACGAGTGTGCATTTCATCTCCTGAGCCGCTGGTCAGACGTTTTCCCAGGCCAGCCCTCCAGTAGAGCCTTTTCTGTATTCTACCTATCCCTCCCCTCCACAAAACTCCCAAAATGTATTTTAAGGGGAAATGTGCCAAAGATCTGTTGTTCTGCCTTTCCTGATTGCCTTGCCATGCAGGTCTTTTGATGATAAAATACAAAAAGTGATTGTATTTTCTAGTCCTGGGGTTGTACAGAGTTTCCATCCACGTGTGATGAGGCAGAAGTGAAGCTGGTCTTCAGACTCCAAAAACATGTGTCTGCAAGGGCAGGGGAGAAGTCAGGACCTCACCAAGCAAACCCCCACAGTTCTAAGGGAACTCCCACAGGAGTATCAGTTGTTGGGGGAGGGAGGGGAGGCCTGGAGACATGTAACTGACCATGGTAGGAAAAGGCTAATGGGCGTCTGACTTGTCCAGCAAAGCTGTTCTTAAGTAAATACCTCATCTTTCCCTGGAATATCCGGTATTTAAGGACAGAGCAACCTTTAAAGGGATCAGTCTAGTGTAGTGGATAGGAGCACAGACTCTAAACTGGGAGAACCGGGTTTGATTCCCCACTCCTCCACATGCAGCTGCTGGTATGGCCGTGGGTCTTGAGAGAGCTATCTCAGGCCCACCTACCTCCCAGGGTGTCTGTTGTGGGGAGGGAAAGGAAAGGGAATTGTAAGGTGCTCTGAGACTCCTTTGGGTAATGAAGGGCGGAGTATAAATCCAATCTCCTCCTCCTCTTCTTTTTCTAAAAGAGCCACAACTGAGCTCAGCCCCAGAAAGAATTCCCTAGATCTCAGGCCCCAAAAGGCCTCCCTCCCTCCTTACCCAGAGGGCTTTATTGTTCAACCCAACCAAGATTTGCTAAGAAGTGAAGCAGAAATCCACCGTGGCTATTCTTTGCCCATTCCCTTGATATAATGATGAAGGATACTCACTTGCAGCCAATTCCCTCGGGAAGGAAATATTCTGTTGAGATCCTCTTGAGGAACTCTCCAGCCCTTCATCTGTCTCCACTGCAGTCTCTCGCACACCTGCGCCTTCTTTGGGAGAGAGAGAGAGAAAAGAGGAGGATGCATGATCCAAGGCCTTTGCCCGTCTCCACCTCAGGCCGTGACACCCACCCTGCCTCTCACGCTGGCCACAGCACTGGCCGCAGTGGCCCCTGGACCAGCCAGGTGTGTTGGCTGCTTTCACCGCCACCCCAGCTCCTGGAGTTGTCCAATGTGCCCACATTCACTACCACAGGAGGTGGCGGCGGCTACAAGCATGGACGGCTTCAAGAGGGAATTGGATAAACATCTGGAGCAGAGGTCCATCAGTGGCTATTAGCCACAAGGTATAGATAGGAACTCTTAGTCTGGGGCAAGTAATGCCCATGTCTAGATTCTTGGTGCTGGGGGGAGGGCAATAGTGGGAGGGCTTCTATTGTCCTGGCCCCACTGCTGGACCTCCTGATGGCACCTGGTATTTTTGGCCACTGTGAGACATAGAGGGTGCGTTCAGACGGGGCGTTTCAGCCGGCATAAACTGTACCGGTTGGAACCGGTGCAGTTTATGCCAGCTGAAACGCGATCACACTCACCTCCTGTCTGCGGATCCCATCACTGTATGCCCGTCCACACACAGCAAGCATCGGCGTTTTTTGTTTTTTTTTAAACTCAGTTTGAGCATGCGCACAGGCAGCCATCCACAGAATGGCAGTCTTCATGCATGCGCAAAAAAACCAGTCTTACATTTAAACTTTAAAGGTAAGGACTTACCTTTAAAGTTTAAAGAGCAAAGTAGCCTCCCTGAGGTCCCGGACGCCTCCGAAACGCTAAACTAAGGCCCTTTTCTTTTTTTAAAAAACAAACGCCAGGCCAAAGCTTTGCCCAGGCGCATATCGCCGACCGGCTTCCGAACGGAAGTGGCTCTGCAACGGTGGAGAGTGATCAGACGGGGGGGTAAAGCGATTACAACCGTTGCACTCAGGATACCACCACTTGGGGACCTAGTGGCAGAATACAACGGTGTAAAGCTCTTTGCAACGGTTAGGAACGGAAGGCAGATGTTCGCCGTATGAACGCCGGTAAGTACACCGATTCCAACCAGCACCTATACCGTTGTAAATGCCCCGTCTGAACGCACCCAGAGTGTTGGACTGGATGGGCCATTGGACTGATCCAACACTGGCTTCTCTTATGTGTGTTAAGTACAGGGCCAGGCCCCACAATGACATACTACTCTTTGATATTTTGATTCACACATCATTGCAATGGCAGCAAATCACACCTTTGGCACCTAAGGAAGATCCTTACCCAGAGAGGCCATGATCCCATAGTTCTCCAGCATGACTTCCCAGTAGAGCGCTCTTTGGTCCAGATCCAGCAGGGCCCACTCGGCCACAGTGAAATACACGGCCACCTCCTCAAAGGAAAACGGACACTGAAAGAAAAAGCAGACTTCCTCATCAGAGATCGTACCAGGCAAGACTGCACCCAGGAAACGGGGAATTCTGGTGGGGTGGAGGACAGAGAGGTTGGCGGGGGTCCAGGGCATGGCCTTCAGGGGCTCTCTTGCTCGGACACCTGAGAAGCCACTGCAGGAGCAAAAGCCCCCCTGAGAAAGGAGGGGGAACTCAGGCGGTCCCCTGCTCATCTCCCCTACCTGGACTGCAGGGGCAGCAGCCGTTTCCACTCCTCCACAAAGATGACGACTCATAACCGTCTCTTCACTGCCTGGGAGGGAAAGAACATTGGAAGAAAGGGTCTGAGCCTAGACTTCACATTTTGTTTGCTTGTACGTATCCTCCTTCATGCACCTCTCTTCCCAGGGCTGTGAAACCTTGTCCTGTCTACACTCAACAAAATGTGTAACGATTTCTGAGTAAGCTTGAAGGAGAGGTGGAAGGGAAGCATCAGGTTCCTATGAGCCTTTGGGGGGGGGGGGGTAAAAACCCTGCCAACACATTTCAGATTTCTGTGACACTTGAAATTTATCCTGTGAATTCCAAAGCTCAAAACGGTGGCAGCATCCCTGCTCGATCAGGCCAAAGGCCCAGGAGCGCCATTCTCCCGCTGGCTGGGTCCTCCCATGTGCCTTGGAGTTCAGGCTTCCGGGAGAAGGGGGGGGGAGAATTCAGGTCAAACGGTACGTCACAATTACACCTGTCCAAAACCCCAGAGGTGACATCAGCACACCTGAGAACTCGAGGGTAATATCAAGCGGTTTCCAGAGCGTCTGCTGATGCTCTGATGTCCCCTCTAGATTTTTGAGCAGGATGAGACCTCACTGTGACATCACTTCCCCCCCGGCCCCACCTCCAAAGCTTCCAGGGATGCCAGATCAACTTTTCTTTTCTGAGCCACCTTAAGTCCCCCTAACAGAACTTAGGTGAGATAGGATTTTTGGGGGTATTTTTAATAACTTGTGTGTGTGTGCACCTGGAAGTCATGGCGACCTCTGGTGAGTGACCCCTACTGGGGGCCTGGAGGACATTCAGAGAGGTGGGTGAGTAAAGCCTGCCCCCACCTCCTGCCTCCGGTATTGCAAGGAGGTCTCCCATCCAAGTACTTGCCAGAGTTGACCCTGCTTAGCTTCCGAGATCTGACTTGCCTGGGCTATCCAGGTCAGGGCGTGAGAAAGGAATATTTCAGTTAACACAGAGAATTCAGTCCTGCATGAAGTAGTGGCAGCTACAAGCCTAGACAGCTTCCAGAGGACTAGATAAACATCTGGAGCAGAGGTTCACAACTGGCTATTAGCCTCAAGGTCTAGATGGAACTCTATGTGTGGGGCAGTGATTCCCTGTATTCTTGGTGCTTGTGGGGCTACAGCAGGAGGGGTTTAGGCATTCTGACCCCCCTGGTGGACCTCTTGATGGCACCTGGGTTTGGGTCACTGTGCATCACGGAGTCCTGAATCAGATGGGCCACTGGCCTGATCCAGCATGGCTTCTCTTATAGTCTCCTGTGATCCCATGAGAAGGGAATTGCCCTCCATGACTCTGTATAATTCCCCCCTCAAGTGAGTGGCCACCATTACGTCCTATGGCAACTGAGTCTCAGCAGTCCACTCTGTGTGGTGTGCAGAAATAGTTTTTTCCTCCTGTCCTGAACCTTCTATCCAACAATTTCACAATGTGCCGAAATTTGGGCACAAGGTACCCTTACCACGGGAGAGGGCATCTTGGGAATGCTCCTGGGCCTGCGCCCTCTGCTCTTCCCCCAAAGGAGATCCTTCCTCCTCAGAGAACTTCACTTCCATCTTCACTGACGGCCCCCACATCTGAAACTGCAGGAAG